AAATTAGCATAGAACAGCTTTCCGAATTAAAACTAATGATTTTTTGTCTTAGTTATGAGGTTTTAAAACTATGCTTTTCGGAAAAAATTGTCCCTTTTTATACCTTTGTTGCGGGGTTTTATAATTTTATTCAAAAGCTGACAACAGCATCAACAAACGCAGTATGCAGATTTGTTTGTGCAATAGAAAGTAGCGCAGAAAAAATTTCCGAATTAAAATTAATGCAATTTTGGCGTAAATATGATGTTCGGAAATCTTTGATTTTTCACAAAAATGGTCTGTTTTTATACATTTTAGCTGGATATAATTTAAGTCAGAAGCTTAAAACTTAATGAAGGAGTCATTTCCGACCCTATAAACCATATATATTCTTGATCAGCATCAACAGCCCAGTCGTTCTGGCCATGTCCGGTCAAAAAATAAATTTTTGTCATTTTTCCGAAAATTGAAAATTTTATAAGGGGTTACATCATTAAAATTGTCAAAATTTGACAATAAATTGATTTTTTAAATTTGAAAACTGAGTATGCAGATTTTTAACCTATTAAAAATTAGCATAGAACAGCTTTCCGAATTAAAACTAATGATTTTTGTCTTAGTTATGAGTTTTTAAAACTATGATTTTCGGAAAAAATTGTCCGTTTTTATACCTTTTTGCGGGTTTTTATAATTTTAGTCAAAAACTGACAACAGCATCAACAAACGCAGTATGCAGATTTGTTAGTGTAATAAAAAGTAGCGCAGAAAAGCTTTCCGAATTAAGATTAATGCAATTTTGGCGTAAATATGATGTCCGAAAAACTTTGATTTTTCTTAAAAATGGTCTGTTTTTATACCTTTTTGCTGGATATAATTTAAGTCAGAAGCTTAAAACTTAATGAAGGAGTAATTTCCGACCCATAAACCTTATATATTCTTGATCAGCATCATCAGCCCAGTCGTTCTGGCCATGTCCGTCCAAAAAATAAATTTTTAAGATTTTTGCGAAAATTGAAAATTTTATAAGGGGTTACATCATTAAAATTGTCAAAATTTGACAATAAATTGATTTTTTTTAAATTTGAAAACTGAGTATGCAGATTTGTTAACCTATTAAAAATTAGCATAGAACAGCTTTCCGAATTAAAACTAATGATTTTTTGTCTTAGTTATGAGTTTTTAAAACTATGATTTTCGGAAAAAATTGTCCGTTTTTATACCTTTTTGCGGGTTTTTATAATTTTAGTCAAAAACTGACAACAGCATCAACAAACGCAGTATGCAGATTTGTTAGTGTAATAAAAAGTAGCGCAGAAAAGCTTTCCGAATTAAGATTAATGCAATTTTGGCGTAAATATGATGTCCGAAAAACTTTGATTTTTCTTAAAAATGGTCTGTTTTTATACCTTTTTGCTGGATATAATTTAAGTCAGAAGCTTGAAACTTAATGAAGGAGTCATTTCCGACCCTATAAACCATATATATTCTTGATCAGCATCAACAGCCCAGTCGTTCTGGCCATGTCCGGTCAAAAAATAAATTTTTAAGATTTTTCCGAAAATTGAAAATTTTATAAGGGGTTACATCATTAAAATTGTCAAAATTTGACAATAAATTGATATTTTTAAATTTGAAAACTGAGTATGCAGATTTGTTAACCTATTAAAAATTAGCATAGAACAGCTTTCCGAATTAAAACTAATGATTTTTTGTCTTAGTTATGAGTTTTTAAAACTATGATTTTCGGAAAAAATTGTCCGTTTTTATACCTTTTTGCGGGTTTTTATAATTTTAGTCAAAAGCTGACAACAGCATCAACAAACGCAGTATGCAGATTTGTTAGTGCAATAGAAAGTAGCGCAGAAAAGCTTTCCGAATTAAAATTAATGCAATTTTGGCGTAAGTATGATAATCGGAAATCTTTGATTTTTCACAAAAATGGTCTGTTTTATACCTTTTTGCTGGATATAATTTAAGTCAGAAGCTTGAAACTTAATGAAGGAGTCATTTCCGACCCTATAAACCATATATATTCTTGAACAGCATCAACAGCCCAGTCGTTCTGGCCATGTTTGGTCAAAAAATAAATTTTTGACATTTTTCCGAAAATTGAAAATTTTATAAGGGGTTACATCATTAAAATTGTCCAAATTTGACAATAAATTGATTTTTTTAAATTTGAAAACTGAGTATGCAGATTTGTTAACCTATTAAAAATTAGCATACAACAGCTTTCCGAATTAAAACTAATGATTTTTGTCTTAGTTATGAGTTTGTAAAACTATGATTTTCGGAAAAAATTGTCCGTTTTTATACCTTTTTGCGGGTTTTTATAATTTTAGTCAAAAACTGACAACAGCATCAACAAACGCAGTATGCAGATTTGTTAGTGCAATAGAAAGTAGCGCAGAAAAGCTTTCCGAATTAAAATTAATGCAATTTTGGCGTAAGTATGATAATCGGAAATCTTTGATTTTTCACAAAAATGGTCTGTTTTTATACCTTTTTGCTGGATATAATTTAAGTCAGAAGCTTGAAACTTAATGAAGGAGTCATTTCCGACCCTATAAACCATATATATTCTTGATCAGCATCAACAGCCCAGTCGTTCTGGCCATGTCCGGTCAAAAAATAAATTTTTGGCATTTTTCCGAAAATTGAAAATTTTATAAGGGGTTACATCATTAAAATTGTCAAAATTTGACAATAAATTGATTTTTTTTAAATTTGAAAACTGAGTATGCAGATTTGTTAACCTATTAAAAATTAGCATAGAACAGCTTTCCGAATTAAAACTAATGATTTTTTGTCTTAGTTATGAGTTTTTAAAACTATGATTTTCGGAAAAAATTGTCCGTTTTTATACCTTTTTGCGGGTTTTTATAATTTTAGTCAAAAACTGACAACAGCATCAACAAACGCAGTATGCAGATTTGTTAGTGTAATAAAAAGTAGCGCAGAAAAGCTTTCCGAATTAAGATTAATGCAATTTTGGCGTAAATATGATGTCCGAAAAACTTTGATTTTTCTTAAAAATGGTCTGTTTTTATACCTTTTTGCTGGATATAATTTAAGTCAGAAGCTTGAAACTTAATGAAGGAGTCATTTCCGACCCTATAAACCATATATATTCTTGATCAGCATCAACAGCCCAGTCGTTCTGGCCATGTCCGGTCAAAAAATAAATTTTTGAAATTTTTTGAAAATATGTCGGAGATATCTAGCAAGATTAGCCTGTTGATTTTGATCAAAAATATATATGATTTATGGGGTCGGAAGTGACTCCTTTACTGTGTTGCATGCTGCTGACTGAAATTATAATACCCTCCAAAGGGTATAAAATAGGGTCAATTTGGGTTGGTGGGATCCCAGGAAAATAAGCCTGGAACAGAGCACAAAAGGTGGCTGGCGACATTGTGTCACGAGTGCTCACACGAACATCTGTTGAGAGGTCGGTGGCGGGGACAGGAGAACTTCATTGAGATTGGGCTGGACTGGAGATAAGAGAGTGAAACCTGGCTCTATGCTCCATCGGCGGCTGTCAGCGGAGGGAGCATTAATTGCTCAGCAATTACACGGCATTTCATCGCGTTTGACAGGCCCCAGACATTGGGCAGACATTAGAGGCTGTTATCGAAGCGGGAGCGAGAGCTATCTGGCGTTTGATTAGAAAACAATCGAAGCTTCCAAGCTTAGTCCTGACCTTCGACTAATTGCATTAGTGGTATCACGCATACGCCGTGATGGACAAATATAGTTTAACAGCGCAGACACGGCCGTAAAACACACAATTCGTGTGCCTTTGCGATGGCGATAAAAAAACGCTTCTTTGCGATAACAAGCTTCGGGCGGCCAAACAATTAAATAAAGTAAACAAACAGAGCATTTCTGATTGCCGACAAGCGTTCTCGCATTGAATTGCACTTGACACTTGCCATCGCAACGAAATCAAAATATTTACGCCTCAATTCGAGTTGATTTTTTTTCGAAATGGGGCGAGTTATATGAATAATCAAAGCCGCTGATTTGATGTTATTGCGCCTGAAAGCCAATCAAATCCGTGACCCAATGGGGCCACATAGCCTGGCGCGGTAAAAAAAGAGAGAAAGAAAAGCGAAGAAAAAGCATACAGAAATACCTTTTGATTGATGGACGATGAGCTGCAGCTGTTTGGTTAGGGAAAACACCTTTTTTTGCTATTTGCTCGCTTGTTTTCTTAGTCCTTATCTGGCCCCTCCGTTAATCTTATCTAATTTAGCTTAATGTTTCCAATGGTTACAACTTGAAGGTGGAGTATTTTCCGTCCTTGCTGGTAAATAGCCTAGTTTGTGTGTAAACTATTTTGTTTCTATAAACTTTGCGTTAGGACTTGGCTTCCTGGAAGCCCCTCAAAGCCACAGTTTCCGCGAATCAATCTGATGTTGGTCTGTGGCTTGGCTCTCGATTCCCGGAAGTGCTAGCCAGTTGTAAACATTTGTATTCAAGGCTTTAAAGCCATTCTAATTAAAGCGATATGTGATTTTGGAGTTGTAAAATTCAATTAGCCATAATTTCAAATTGATTATGCATTTGCGGGCGCCACTAACTGACTTTTTGACCACGCGCCGCTGGCTAAAAAGCCAATTAACACAAATAACGATTATTAGAAATGCGAATAAAGAGACATAGAGCGAGATAGGGGCCATGTTGTTGCAGTTTTGCTGATTACAAACTGATTAGCTGCATGCGACGGGGACGGGACTGGTTAATTAATTGTATTGCCATTTATGCCTCGATTTGTTGTTTTTACGGCTTACGCCGTATTGCTGTCGCAATTTATGACCTCACTTCACAGTTTATAACATGGCGATAACATAAACGGCGCGTACTTGGCCCAGAAGAAGCCCCACGATCTAACGATTTATGATCCCTTCCAGCTTGTGTCCCCGGAGCGGCGACTGGAGAAGGCGCATCCCACCTTCACGGAGAGGAGTCAGCTGAAGTATGCCCGGCGATTGGTGGTCAAGCTGGGCAGTGCGGTCATCACGCGAGAGGATAACCATGGCCTGGCCCTTGGACGACTGGCCTCTATAGTGGAGCAGGTTTATAATATATATAAAATAAACATTATAATTATTACTATATACAAATTTCTTACCCTTCAGGTTGCCGAGTGCCATTTGGAGGGGCGTGAGGTAATGATGGTCACCAGTGGAGCCGTGGCCTTTGGCAAACAGAAGCTCGCCCAGGAGCTGCTTATGTCTCTTTCGATGCGCGAGACCCTCAATCCCAAGGACAGCAAAGAGGTAGCCCAGATTAGAAGCCGGAAGTGGCGGAATGTGTGACTCGAATCTTTAAACCGAATCTTCCACTCTCCGAAATTAGTTCGATGGCGCCACCCTGGAACCGCGAGCAGCGGCTGCGGTGGGTCAGTCTGGTCTAATGTCTCTCTACGATGCGATGTTCGCCCAATATGGCGTCAAGATAGCCCAGGTTAGTACTGACCTCTAATTAGACACACTCTGGGGTGACTGGAGTGAGCTGTTGCTCTTTGCAGGTGCTGGTGACCAAGCCGGACTTCTACAACGAGGAGACGCGCAACAATCTCTTCTGCACGCTCTCCGAATTAATTAGCCTGAATATTGTGCCAATCATAAATACCAACGACGCCGTCTCACCGCCGATGTTTATACGTGACGATGAGCCAGCCGGCGGAGCCAGGAGGGTGAGTTCTGGAGCTCAGAATTCTAGATTATCTATCTCTGGGCAGGCACGTGACCAGGTCTCTCTTCCTTCTGCCAGGGCATTCCCATTAAGGACAACGACAGCCTGTCGGCCATGCTGGCCGCCGAGGTGCAAGCGGATCTGCTAATCCTGATGTCCGATGTCGACGGCATCTACAATAAGCCGCCCTGGGAGGACGGAGCCAAGCTGATGCACACCTACACCAGCGATGATACCAACACCATAGAGTTTGGGAAAAAGTCAAAGGTGAGTTTACATCTTCATTAACTAAACCCTAATTCTAGGATACAAACAAATGTTAAGCCATTATAAAGAGTATATAAAATTTGTTGTATAAAATACGAGTATAACTTCATTTTACTACCTATGACAAATTTCTTTCTGTGCACCGTACTTCCAGGTGGGCACCGGTGGCATGGACTCCAAGGTGAAGGCAGCCACCTGGGCCCTGGACCGTGGCGTCAGCGTGGTTATCTGCAACGGGATGCAGGAGAAGGCTATTAAGACCATAATTGGCGGCCGGAAGGTGGGAACCTTCTTCACTGAGTCCACCGAGAGTGCCAACACGGTGCCCGTCGAGGTGATGGCCGAGAATGGTGAGTAGTGGACGTGGATGAGTGGCCAGGATGAAAGGATAATAACGGAGAATGATGTGGCTGAACAAGGGAAAGAGCTGAGCTCGCATAATTAGCGGTTTCGCCTGGAGTCTCATCCAGCCACATCGATTGCCAATTATCCGGTGCGAAGTCTAAGCCGGTTCCGGCTCATTCCAGATAGCACTTGTACTAGTGTTTCGACACGAGAAACGGGAAAGTTGCAAGATGCTAACGGCGAATGACAAGTGGCTGTTGGCCGGGCTAATGGCCATTAGGGCTTACACCAGCTAAGCAAGCAGCAAGTCCAAGGAGGAGGCTCCACCAAAGTGGGTCAGTTGGGAGTCTGTCGGGTTTCTGGGAACCTTGAGGCGGAGCGACGTTGCTATTTTTAGTCGCGCAAATTTAATTTAATTGTTATTATGGCGAACTGCAGCAGCAGCTGGCCGAAAGTGCCTGTTAATTAGGCAAAAGCAACTTTGTTTTGGCCCTGACTTACACTGTGTTGCAAGTTTTTGAGCTTTTCAACCGTATTACCTGTATTTTATTATGTGATAATATTAGCTATATTTACTTTAGACCAAGTTCTTAAGAGGAACTATTGATTTCCAATAGACAGCCCTCCCGAAATCCTGTTATCCAGTGTAACTTAACCCATTTTATCATTTAGCTCGCACCGGAAGTCGCCAGATGCAGGCCCTTAGTCCAGCCCAGAGAGCCAGTGCCGTCAACACCCTGGCTGACCTGCTGGTGAGCCGCGAGAAGTTCATCCTGGATGCAAACGCCAAGGACTTGGCCGAGGCCCAGAAGAATGGACTGGCCAAGCCGCTGCTTTCGCGACTCTCACTGAACGCAGCGAAATTGAAGAACCTGTCCGTGGGCCTCAAGCAAATCGCCGAGGACAGTCACAAGGTAAGTGTGGCAGGGAACTTAATTACAGGAGGACACTTTGCTCCAGGCAGCTATAGCTGACCCCTAAAAGGTCCCGGCCAAATTGCATTTGTTGCAGTGTCGAAAAGTCAGCCCCAAATTGAGTTAGTCCGACGGGGAACTGCTGCACTGGGATTTGTCTGACTGGCAAAATGGCCATTTCATGAGCTCTCCACAAAGACGCTCGCTCCTCGAGAGCCATATGCAGTTTCCGAAGCTTTAACAGCATTATGAAATCTCCAAGCAATTTTACACTTGAACAAAAATTGACACCCCTACTGGGGGAGCCCAACTCGACGTCCTGGTGACCTAATCCCTTCACCCAGGGAGCAGACTTCGCCGGTGTCTGGCAGACCCGGAGCTGAGCAGGGTGCGAGGCAGCTAAGCAAGTGGAAGATAAAGGACAGACTCTCTCTTGTATGCGCTTCGTGTATTTGGTGTCTTGGCAGTGACATTAGCCCGCATCCCGGCTGGGGTCCTGGCCCTGGCCCCAGTCCTTGTCCCCTTCTTTCAGCACCAGACAGAGTTGATCGAATATCGCCCGGGTGAGGAAGGGTTTGGGGAGCTTCATCCTCCCCAGCCAACCGTTTTATTGGATGTGATTGTGCGGAAACGTAAAAAGTTTTCCTTCATGTTTTTTTCTCGGCACAAAGTTTTTTTTTTTTTACGCCTCAATTCGAGTTGATTTTTTTTCGAAATGGGGCGAGTTATATGAATAATCAAAGCCGCTGATTTGATGTTATTGCGCCTGAAAGCCAATCAAATCCGTGACCCAATGGGGCCACATAGCCTGGCGCGGTAAAAAAAAAGAGAAAGAAAAGCGAAGAAAAAGCATACAGAAATACCTTTTGATTGATGGACGATGAGCTGCAGCTGTTTGGTTAGGGAAAACACCTTTTTTTGCTATTTGCTCGCTTGTTTTCTTAGTCCTTATCTGGCCCCTCCGTTAATCTTATCTAATTTAGCTTAATGTTTCCAATGGTTACAACTTGAAGGTGGAGTATTTTCCGTCCTTGCTGGTAAATAGCCTAGTTTGTGTTTAAACTATTTGGTTTCTATAAACTTTGCGTTAGGACTTGGCTTCCTGGAAGCTCCTCAAAGCCACAGTTTCCGCGAATCAATCTGATGTTGGTCTGTGGCTTGGCTCTCGATTCTCGGAAGTGCTAGCCAGTTGTAAACATTTGTATTCAAGGCTTTAAAGCCATTCTAATTAAAGCGATATGTGATGTCGGAGTTGTAAAATTCAATTAGCCATAATTTCAAATTGATTATGCATTTGCGGGCGCCACTAACTGACTTTTTGACCACGCGCCGCTGGCTAAAAAGCCAATTAACACAAATAACGATTATTAGAAATGCGAATAAAGAGACATAGAGCGAGATAGGGGCCATGTTGTTGCAGTTTTGCTGATTACAAACTGATTAGCTGCATGCGACGGGGACGGGACTGGTTAATTAATTGTATTGCCATTTATGCCTCGATTTGTTGTTTTTACGGCTTACGCCGTATTGCTGTCGCAATTTATGACCTCACTTCACAGTTTATAACATGGCGATAACATAAACGGCGCGTACTTGGCCCAGAAGAAGCCCCACGATCTAACGATTTATGATCCCTTCCAGCTTGTGTCCCCGGAGCGGCGACTGGAGAAGGCGCATCCCACCTTCACGGAGAGCAGGGTGCGAGGGAGCTAAGCAAGTGGAAGATAAAGGACAGACTCTCTCTTGTATGCGCTTCGTGTATTTGGTGTCTTGGCAGTGACATTAGCCCGCATCCCGGCTGGGGTCCTGGCCCTGGCCCCAGTCCTTGTCCCCTTCTTTCAGCACCAGACAGAGTTGATCGAATATCGCCCGGGTGAGGAAGGGTTTGGGGAGCTTCATCCTCCCCAGCCAACCGTTTTATTGGATGTGATTGTGCGGAAACGTAAAAAGTTTTCCTTCATGTTTTTTTCTCGGCACAAAGTTTTTCCATCGAGCGAGGGCTGGGGTCTGGGACATGAGTTTATTGTAAAAATGGCAAGAGAAATTGTGACACAAAATGGCGGCAGCGTGAAAAATCATAAAAAAGCGAACACGCACACATACTTTATAGAGCTGGAAGCTGGCTGGGAATACGGCAAAAACCATAACGCACTCAATAAATGTCGCTCCGATGGCGGAAAGTGTTTCGACCCACTTTTCTGTCATTTTTTGTTGTTCGTTTATTATTTTATTTCCGTGCGACAAACAAATGCCGCGGGCCCAGCTTGGCCTCGGGGCCGCTGAACCACTCGAAAGTTTGATAGAGGTGGCCGGGGTCAGAGGTCACTGTCCAGTTTCAGTTTTCAATTACCCCAAAGGAAAGTTTTATTGCGAAACAAGTACTGAATAAGATGAGATAATAATTGAATTAGGCCAAAAACGTTGCTGCAAAGATGGATGGAATCCTGCACAGTAGTAGTGGAGGTGGATTTTTCAATTTCCTGCTCGAATCCTGCGAAACCCTGCATATTTCATGACCCCTTATAGCCTTGCCAGCATCCTTCAACTGAACCAAGTCGCCACTATATCAACCCCGCACCGACTTATCCAATTGTCCTTTGCAAATATAATTTAAAGTTTGACGTCCTACAATGCCAAAGTCAATAATAATGACCATATAACCAAATTTACCCAGCGCCCAAGTCGAGTTTAATGGTTAAGCGGACCCAGCAGGGACCGGGAAAAGGGAGCAAGGAGCAAGGAGTGCTCCTCCTCCTCCAGCTTGGCCCGGGGGGCGGTGGTCCACTCTATGCAAACAAGGCCAGTGCCAGCCAACTGCTGTCAGCAGCCGTCCAGCCCAGACCTACCCGCAATCTCTTTATGTTATCTGCAGCCAATTTTCTAGAGATTTCTCACAAGAGCAGAAGCAGCAGAGGGGCAGGAGCAGCAGAGAGGCAGGAGCAGGGTAGCAGCAGGAGCAGCAGCAGCAGAACCAAAGAGAAACCCACTGGAGGGCAGAGCACTTCCAAATGCGGGGGCGTGGGACGGCTGGCCATTAAAAATAAATAAAGATTACGACGCGATGAGCGACTTGATTTATGTAACGCCTCAAAATAGACGCCAGGGAATCGAAATGCGGACTCCAGGAAGGAGAGTAGTAGGAGTAGTGGGCGTGGCGGGACACCGTCCACAGTGTCGCATAAATATCGAGTTATTTTTATGACCCGGTCCCACATGGCGTATGCGTTATGCGATTTATGCTGACTTGTGAATTGACTCTGCGACTGTTATTTTTACACCCTTCCCATCTCTCAATCCCGTCTGTATTATCTCATCTAGATTCTTTCCCTTTCTCTTTTGTAGAATGTGGGTCGCGTTCTGAGACGTACCCGCCTCGCCGATCAGCTGGAACTGAAGCAGGTCACCGTCCCAATTGGCGTCTTGCTGGTCATCTTTGAATCCCGCCCAGACTCGCTGCCCCAGGTGGCCGCCCTGGCAATGGCCTCGGCCAACGGTCTGCTGCTCAAGGGTGGCAAGGAGGCGGCGCACAGCAACAAGGCACTGATGGAGCTGGTCAAGGAGGCGCTGGCCACCGTGGGAGCCGAGCATGCCGTGTCTCTGGTGAGTGTCCTGTGTCCTGTTTTCATAGAACTTACTAAGCTGAGATATTTCCTGTGAAGGTATCCACCCGCGAGGAGATCAGCGACCTGCTGTCCATGGAGAACCACATTGACCTGATCATTCCACGAGGCTCCTCGGAGCTGGTGCGCAGCATCCAGCAGCAGTCCCTCCACATTCCCGTCCTGGGTCATGCCGAGGGGGTCTGTCACGTGTATATCGATCGGGATGCGGATCTGAAGAAGGCCCTGCACATTGCCCGTGATGCCAAGTGCGACTATCCGGCGGGTAGGAGGAGTCCAATCACTGGCACAATCCCTGAAATCCCAACCCAATTAACCCATCCATCATTACAGCCTGCAACGCCATGGAGACACTGCTCATCCACGAGGACCTCATGAGTGGCGACATCTTCAGCGACGTGTGCAACATGTTGAAGCGGGAGGGCGTCAAGATCTACGCCGGTCCCCGGCTGAACCAGCAGTTGACATTTGGTCCGCCGGCGGCCAAGAGCCTGAAGCACGAGTACGGGGCTCTGGAGTGCTGCATCGAGGTGGTGCCCAGCCTGGACGAGGCCATTAATCACATCCATACGTTCGGCAGTGGCCACACCGATGTCATTGTCACAGAAAACGGTAACGAAATGTTGCAAAATTGAAAATTAATTTCGATTGCCAGCAGTCGTAGCTGAAAAATGGTCAGGTTTTCCTCCTGCTCTCTTTCTCCTGAACGTCCGGATCCTTATTCCCTCTCAATTGATTTGGTTTATGCGGGGAGAATGGGAATAGTGCAGAGGCCGGGGTGCCCTCATAATGGTTATTGCTGCGGATGGTTGCTCTCGAAGGATGCTAGGGAAACAGGTAAAAAGAGAGAATTAGAATATGACAGTGCAGTGTGTCCCAAAACTATAATTAAATTTTCAAGGCAAATAATATAGGGAGTGTAGGAAAATTGGTAAGTTAAGGCAGGGTCCTTTTCTAATGATGTTTGTTTCTCGTTTCTGAAATCCACAGGGTTGGCTGAAATATTAGCAAAATTAATCAGGGAATAGCGTGACCTTTTCACATTGCACTATTAGCAAAAGGAAAATGAGAAATTTCTTTGATATAATTTAAGTTAAATCTTGAAGCAGGGGAAACTAATAAAACTATATAGCATTTATCTATGTAACAAAAGTAAGGAAGTGAGTAGAAAGTATTTGTTAAGTACTTTAGTTTTTCTATTAATTTTTCTTGATGATTTTGAGCCCAAGTAAATGTGAAGGTGTTTTGTGATTTTAAAATTATAAATCTTAAAAATTAAGTTATGTTTATAATGCATAGTTATCGTGCCTTTAACAAACATTATGTACTATTGCCTAGCAAATTGTTGAACCTATTACGAGGCTCGTGTTTTTTGCAATTACTTTTCAAGATGTTGGTTTTTTGTTTTGTGTGCATTCCTCTGCCATTATTCCGAGCACAATGGCACGTGTACATGCATTTAGCACGAGTGTGTCGTGCACTGGATGGCATGACTGCCCCACCTCAGGACCCCCTGCCTGCCACCCCCCACCCACATGTAATTCAATTTGGCGCCCTCAATGCCAGTACTCAGCACTGCGCACTCGACACTCACTTCTTCAGCCATTCAGGCAGTCCAACTTGAAACCGAAACCAAACCCGAATCCTAATTCAAGTCGGGCAAGTGGCACGCTAAACTTTAGCATGCATGCAGCTCTTGCCACAACAAATTTAAATCATTTGGGAAATTAATTTTATTCAACACTTTCCTGCAGTCCGTGTTTGCATTTCCACATTTGCTATTCCAATTCCAAGGCACACATGAAACAATGACAGCAACGATATTAGAAAAGGGTCATCCCTAGAAGTATAGAAATCAAAGCTTAGTAAATATAATTCTTATAATATTCCTCTGCTTATTTGAATATTAAATTTTACATTTATTATTACTACCAATATTATTTATTACCATTTCTTTCCGTGCAGATGCCGCGGCAAAGCAATTCCTGGGCAGCGTGGACAGCGCCTGTGTGTTCCACAATGCCAGCTCGCGGTTCGCTGATGGCTTCCGTTTTGGCCTTGGCGCCGAGGTGGGCATCTCTACGGCCCGGATCCATGCCCGCGGACCCGTGGGCGTGGAGGGGCTGCTGACCACCAAGTGGATACTCAACGGACAGGACCACGCCGCCGCCGACTTCGCCGAGGGCGGGGAGCGAACGTGGCTGCACGAGACCCTGCCGCTGGACTAGAAGTAATCCGGGGCATACTTAGTTGTAGGATCCCAGTGTGTAGATTGTTTTTCCATCACCTTCACCGATGCGTGGAGAGTGCATTTTGAGCGAAGGGTAATTAAATGGGCGGTGCAGGACGGGGAATCCCCGATGACAGCTGCCGTCGCGGCCACATGGGAGAAATTAATTTGAGTGAAAAATATTTGGCGAGACAACTTGTGTAATTAATAAAGTGAGCGGGAGGGAGTGTTTTCGGGGGTAGTTAAGACTGTCAGCCCTTGTCTTGGGCAAAGTTTTCAGCGAAAGTTGCGTTGCGTCGCCTTACAAGACGGGAGAATGGAAAATAAAGTAACGCCGAAAGGCGCCGAAAGAACTGCTCTTAAAGTTTCAATCCTCTGCAAGTATTATGTATATGCGCATATTCCTATTACAAATCATAAATTAGCCATGGAACGTGAAATGCAGCCAGCTCGCTCGCCTCGGGATCTGCAACTTGGTAGCAGGCAGCCGCGTGGCAAGTATTTTAATTTTTATGTGCACTGGGCCAAGTTAAGTTTGCCGGCTTTCCCGGTTCCTCAGGCCCGACCAGCTCGGCTTTCTTTCGCTCTCTTTCACTTTGGCCAAAGTTTCCGCACTGCGTGCTGGCCCGAAAGGCAGCCGTAGGAGAAGCCGCAGGTGGAGCCGGGAACGGGTACGGGATTGGGCAAGGTGATGGTGGTTCCTCCTGTCAACGCGCTAACTTTTTTGAAGGAATTTTCCCCCCAGAAACTTCATGCTGAATTGAAGTTGGGGTCAGCACAGGTTCTGGGGAGGATTGAATAGTATTGGAAAACAAGAGGAAAAACAAGTGTAATTCTAATTCTAATTGCCCAAGTGACGGACAGCCGCACAGCAAATCTCTGAGAAAAAATTCATTAGTCTTGTGCGATTTCTTAGGAATATTTCATATCAAAATAAACTGGCAGTCAGCCATGCAATTTGTGTAATTTAATTTAAAAGTTTCTACTTTTTGTTATGAACATCAAAAGAGAGAACACAATATTTGGCTTTATAGAAACATTGTCTGTGAAGGAACCATCTTAAAAAAAAACATGGGTAGAGTGTGATTCCTTAAAAGCAAATATTTTGTGATCATCTTTGTACATTTTCTATATATATGATAGTTCACATTTTATTGTATGAGAATTGATATTGTTAAGAGTTCTTTCCAAAAAAAGTTTTATAATTAAATGCCTAAAGAAAAATTCAAAAACTGTTAAAATTGTAATTTTAGTAATATAATATATATTCTAGTAATATATTTAACTAAATACTTGTAAAATTGAAATTTCCCTCACAATTCGCTGTAGAAAAGTAGGACAAATTTGATTAAAATTCAAGCAATTGCAATCCGGCAATGCGAGGGAAATCACGAAGTGAATTTAGGTGACCTATTTTTTATTTAAGATTAAATTCGTCTAGCATTGCATACCTTGAAATTTCATTTAAAAATCTAAAACTTAATATACACTTGCAGGGTATTATAATCTTGATCAGAAGCATATTACGAAGTGAAGGAGTCATTTCCGACCCCATAAATCATATATCTTCTTAATCAGCATCAACAGGCGATTCTTTCTAGGTATCTCCGGTGCAAAAAAAAATAATTTAATATTGAGTATGCAGATTTATTAACCTAATAATGATTTCAGAATTGAAATTAATGCATTTTTGGCTGAGTTATAAGTTTTTTAAACTTTGATTTGTCGAAAAAATTGTCATATAATACTATCGATCAATATCAATTCAAAGATATAATATATGAAATATAATATTCTTCCTTTCGGACTTCTGAAGCTTCCCTATTGCTATTTATGAGCTCTTAAATGCATTCAAAGGAGAGCATAATTTTTTACCTCTTTCAACTGCTCGAGACGCGTACGGACAATGATACGTGAACGCTGTCCGTATCCGTACCTGATCCGCATGGTGGTCACGTAGTGCTCTGCAGTTGCCAAGCACTTTGCGGAAGTTACCGGAGCGGAAGTTACTCCGCGAGTTGTGAAGTTTGGCCATTTGGGGAATGCCCCCGATATGCACTTTACAGTTGGGTGCAGTGCCGCGGCAGGTTCTCGCCTTGGGGTGCACTTAATTAGAATGGCGGGCATTAATCTTGTGGCTAATGCCACGTTGAGATCGGGCCGATATCGGAAGACAGGCGCAAAATTGCCGTTGGCCAAAGACACCCATTCCGCGCTAAGAGCTGCCTTCCTTTCCGTGCAGACGACTATATGCAAAACAATTTTATTTTATTTCATTTTGATTTCAATGAAATCCACACGACGTCGTCAACATTTATAATATGTGCAAACGCTTTGCCTGCATTTTTGTTTGCTGTCAGGGCTGTGCGGGGTGTGTGTGCAGAGGGTGTGCGAGCGGTGTGTGGTGTGTGGTGTGACAGCGTGTGGGCCACACCATCTATGGACTGAGTGGGGGACCCAAAAGAGCGTTGGCACAAATCCGGCGGACTTTTAAAAGATTCTTGCAAGTACAAGCTGGCAACTGCATTGCATTGTTCGCGGGGTTGTCTCGCGAACGCTGTTCCGCGGGGGTTTATTTATATAAAAACTTAAAAATACATCAACAGATGCCTATACAAGTCCTGGCGCATATTTCCCTACGCTCTCTCTACGCTGTTCTATGTCGAAGTCATAGCAAAGTTGGCAGCCAGGCATAATTTAGCGAAAATGAAATGAAACTGAATGATAAATGGCCCGCACGAATGGAGAAAATTGAATACCCTCAAATGGAAACAGAAATAAAACAGATTAATCTCTGGTTAATTCCGACTGAAGACTAATGAATACAAATAACTATATCAATGGAATAACATGGCTCGCAAGAATGCATTAGTTTAATGGATCTCCTTTGATTAATTATTTAAAGCTAGGGATTAACGTATATTCGCTCTTTTGATTACAAAAATAAGTAATGTCTTTCACACTTTAATAAAGGCTGTAATCCTTACAAATTGTTTCAGTTTGGTAGATAGGGCTTGCCACAATTTATAGCATTTTATTATAGTTTTAAGCTAAAGTAATGTTTAAATAACTTTTATTTTATTCCTAATTATAATTTGGGGATATATATGGTAATATATGTTCATAGGAAGAGGACATGAGACCAAAAGGTAAGAAGAACACAATATAGTTTAATTATAATTTAATAAAACTAAGTTTGTATTGAATACAAATAAATCATAATGAAGATAGTACATCTAACAAAACTCTAAACTGCATTATCCTCTCCGTGTGGCCTAATGATTTATATAGATTGAAAATTAAGATATAATTAGTAATAGTAAATTCTTGAATTGTGAAGTGCTTTCATCTATGCGTATTTGATTTCCTATAACTACCTTGCTATAAATATTCCTAATGTACTTTGAATGTAAATCTATATTCATTACGAGATCTGATTCCCATATCTCCCTATCCCCCATCGGATCAGATCATTATCAAACCCATTAGCTAAGGCGGAGTACCCGTAATCGGAACACTCTTTGGTGCAATTGAAATGATGTGTAGCCGACCCTCCGGTTCGCCACCCCGCCACTGCCTCCGTGAACGGCTGATCCCCAGCTAGCGTAGCATATCGCGAAATTCATCAACATGTTACTAGATGAACAATTGGCCAAGATGACAGGGATATCAGGGAAGCATGGGGGGACTTGAGATCTCGGACAGAACTTATTTAAATGCGGCTGTCGGAGCGCAGAACGAATCACTCTGATTGCTGTCGCTGTTGGATTTACACGTCGTGAGTGTCGTCATTATTAGGAGCAGGATAACCCAAGGATATACATACACTATAAATGGACTTGAAAATAGGGTCAATTTGATCTAATTTGATATCACTATACATTCGATTTGTCTGAAATCAGAAGGATATCTTTGCAGATCAAATTACCTATTAATTCTATTTTAAATTAGAACGTTTAAAAATAAATACAACAGCTCAAGTTTTATGTTACGTGTAACCAAAGGATAACACTTGGATTCCTCTACCTTAATTAATTGCAGTGCCCGCTCCGATCAAAAACTAACCCAAAATGTGTGACGAGGAAGCATCAGCCTTGGTGGTGGACAATGGCTCCGGCATGTGCAAGGCCGGATTCGCCGGAGACGATGCGCCCCGTGCCGTATTCCCCTCGATCGTGGGCCGTCCCCGTCACCAGGGCGTCATGGTGGGCATGGGTCAGAAGGACTGCTATGTGGGTGATGAGGCGCAGAGCAAGCGCGGTATCCTCTCCCTGAAGTACCCCATTGAGCACGGCATCATCACCAACTGGGACGACATGGAGAAGGTCTGGCATCACACCTTCTACAATGAGCTGCGTGTGGCCCCCGAGGAGCACCCCGTCCTGCTGACTGAGGCTCCCCTGAACCCCAAGGCCAATCGCGAGAAGATGACCCAGATCATGTTCGAGACCTTCAACTCACCGGCCATGTACGTGGCCATCCAGGCCGTGCTCTCCCTTTACGCCTCCGGCCGTACCACCGGCATTGTCCTGGACTCCGGTGACGGTGTCTCGCACACCGTGCCCATCTATGAAGGTTATGCCTTGCCCCATGCCATCCTGCGTCTGGATCTGGCTGGTCGCGACTTGACCGACTACCTCATGAAGATCCTGACCGAGCGCGGCTACTCCTTCACCACCACCGCCGAGCGTGAGATCGTGCGCGACATCAAGGAGAAGCTCTGCTACGTCGCCCTGGACTTCGAGCAGGAGATGGCCACCGCTGCCGCCTCCACCTCGCTGGAGAAGTCCTATGAGTTGCCCGATGGCCAGGTGATCACCATCGGCAACGAGCGTTTCCGCACCCCGGAGGCCCTCTTCCAGCCCTCGTTCCTGGGCATGGAGTCCTGCGGCATCCACGAGACCGTCTACCAGTCGATCATGAAGTGCGATGTCGACATCCGCAAGGATCTGTATGCCAACAATGTGCTGTCCGGCGGCACCACCATGTATCCAGGTGGGTAATGATAGCAGTGATTTGTATTATCTAAAAGGAAAGATTCGAGATGATATTCACACTTGTAACAAATTGAAATATTTCTAAATAGAATCACATAACACTTTCAATATATTTATATTCCCCCAGGTATTGCTGATCGTATGCAGAAGGAGATCACTGCCCTGGCTCCATCCACCATCAAGATCAAGATCATTGCCCCACCAGAGCGCAAGTACTCCGTCTGGATCGGTGGCTCCATCCTGGCCTCGCTGTCCACCTTCCAGCAGATGTGGATCTCGAAGCAGGAGTACGACGAGTCCGGCCCCGGAATCGTCCACCGCAAGTGCTTCTAAGCACTGGGTCAGCACCCTCACCATCACCATCTCCTCAAGCA